TTCCAGCAAAGGTAATCAAAAGTATGAAGAAATAGATTATTCTTTCACACAATTCAGTCTCTTCAAAATCTTATTGCAAATATTACCTCCCAAGATAATCTAGAAATATTGTATCTTATAATATGAGCTAATTAGTGATACATAAGAGAGAGAGTGTGACCTTGAAAGAGGAGGCCTAGGAAGCCTTCACCAATTGTGTCAGGGACTGTAGTTTAAATGCAAAGCTGGTGAGCGTTTGGATACATGGTAGAAATCAGGCAGGCACTGAGAGAATGGATCAAGGAGCATAGAGGTGGATGAAGCAGCAGAGCAGAATAGTTGCGTGAAAGTAAACACCAAGATGCAAACAGAGAAGATGATTTCAATGCAGTGGAAGGCCAGTAGGTCCTGTGGAGTAAAAACCTGATGATGAAAAGCAGGGTCATAGGCAGACTGGCAAGTACGCCATCGTATCAAAGCCTGCAGGAGAGAGCAGTGAAAAGGAAAACGGGTGCATTCAGGAAGCAGGCACTGATTTAGAGTTTGGATGCATATGATACTAGGCTGTGCAACGTGACAAAAATGAATGGTTTGTAGGGTCCAGACTGGCACCAGGTACAGAAAAGTTACAGTAACAAGCCATAGGCAAGAAGCTGACTGTGAGGTATGTAGAGGACATACAAGACCATGGAGATTTCTTTGGGATTATTCAAGGGAAGAAAGCAACAATGTCATCTAGCAACACTGAATGACACGATTTCTTAATTTCTAGGACTGTATGTTAGTACAAGTGTAGTAGCACATAGGAAATACTTGGGCTTGTGCTTTGAGTAATATAGAAGACAGAAGCCACCGCTGTCAGTGCAAACAGGAAAATGCTTAAAAAGCTACTCTGCTCTCCGCGTTTGATTTTCTCTCTCTGCGGAATCAGGCTGTCTTAGCACAGGGTGCCTACAGTGGCCATTCCTGGCTGGGGTAGCTGCACCTCTGCAGACTCTGCCTTTTGTTGTTCAGCTGCAGCGTGTATGGGTTTACAGTGTGCCGAGTGAAGAATGGGCTGAAGGGCAGAGCTGAAAGGGTTGTAGTGAATGGGGCTGCATTTAGCTGATGACCAGTCAGCAGCAGTCTTCCTCAGGGTTCAATTCTAGTGCAAATTCTGTTTAGGATATTTATCAACGATCTGGATGCAGGAGTTGAATGCACCATTAACAAATTTGCTGATGATACCAAACTAGGAGTTGCTGTTGACTCTCTTGAGGGACAAGAAGGATCTAGATAGATTAGTGCATTGGAAAATGATTATTTATAGAATCATAGAAGATGATCAGGTTGCTCAAAGCCCCATCCAGCCTGACCTTGAATGCTTCCAGGGAGGAAGTGTCCACAACCTCTTTGGGCAACCTGTCTCAGTGCCTCACCGCTATCACAGTGAAGAACTTCTTACATCTAATCTGAATCTAGCCCCTGTCCTATTATTACATGCCCTTGTAAAAAATCCCTCTCCAGCTTTCTTGTAGACCTCCTTTAGATATTGAAAGGCTATGAAGTCTCTCTGGAGCCTTCTCTTCTCCAGGCTAAACATTCCCAATTTTCTCACCCTGTCCTCACAGAGAAGATGTTCCAATCCCCTGATCATCTTCGTGGCCCTCTGGACTCACTTCAACAGGTCCATGTCCTTTTTATGTTGAGGGTCCCAGAGCTGGACACAGCACTGCAGGTGGGGTCTCATGAGAGCAGAGTGAAGGGGGAGAACCACCTCCCTTGACTGACTGGTCACACTTCTGATGAAGCCCAGGATGCAACTGGCTTTCTGGGTTGCAAGTGCACATTGCTGGCTCATACTCGGTTTTTCATCCTCCAACATCCCCAAGTCCTTCTCTGCAGGGCTGCTCTCAATCCACTTGTGACCTAACCTATATTTGTGCCTGGATTTGCCCCAATCCACAAGCAAAACCTTGCACTTGGCCTTGCTGAACTTCCTGAAGTTCACACAGGCCCACCTGTCCAGCCTGTCAAAGTCCCTCTGGATGGCATCTCACTCCTCCAGCATGTCAGCTGCACCACACCGCTTGACGTCAGCAAGCTTTCTTAGGGTGCACTAGATCCCATGGTCCGTGTCACCAACAAAGATGTTTAACAGCATCAATCCTAATAATTGTCACTGGTCTCCATTCGGTCATTGAGCCGTTGACTGCAACTCTTTGAGCGTGACCACCCAGCCAATTCCCTATCCACCAAGTGCTCCACCCATCAAATCCACGTCTTCAACTTAGAGACAATGTCATGTGGGACAGTGTCAAAAAGGGAGCAAATGGGACGAAATTAACAAGCTGAAATGCTCAGTCCTGCACTTAGATGGAGTAACTCCAGGCAGAAGTATAAATAGGGAGAGGAGTGGCTGGAGAACAGCTGTGCAGAAAAGAATCTGGGGGTGCTAGTTGACAGTGATTCAGTAGGAGCCAGCTGTGTGCTCTGGCAGCCAAGAGGACAAACCCCATCCTGGGGTGCATCAAACACAGCCTAACCAGCCAGACAAAAGAGGTGATAATCCCACTGTATGCAGCTTTGGTGCAGCCTCACCTTGAGCTGGGCCCCACAATTTAAGAAGGGGTGAATGCCCCTGAGTGCATGCAGAGGAGGACAACAAAGCTGTTGAAAGGGCTGGAGGGAATGTCTTGTGAGGAGTGGATGAGGACTTCGGGCTTGTGTAGTTTGGAGAGACGGAGGCTGAGGGGTGACCTCGCTTGCTCTCTACAGCTTCCTGAGGAGGGGAGGTGCTGAGCTCTTCTCCCTGGGATCCAGTGACAGGACATTTGGGAGCGTCTCAAAGCTACACCAGGAGAGATGTAGACTGGGCAGAGCGAAGCATTTCTTTACCAAGAGGGTAGTCAAACCCTGGAACAGGCTTCCTAAAGAAGTGGTCAATGCCCCAAAGCTGTCAGTGTTTAAGAGGCATTTGGACAATGCCCTTAACAACATGCTTTAACTTTTGGTCAGGCCTGAACTGTTCAGGCAGTTGAACTAGATGATCGTTGTAGATCCCTTCCAACTGAAAATACTCTACTCTGTTCTATTTTATTCTAGGCTGCTCTGATCTTCTCTGTTGTTACAGTTGCACCCTCAGGCTGTTCACTCAGCTCTGGTTTTTCATGAGGTAAAAACAAAGTATTTTGTCCTACCAAGAAAGGGTGGGGACCAATCTGTTTTCTGTTTTCTTGGAGGCAATTTCTTTAGCTCAGAGCAGGCGCACACTCGTGGCACAACATGAAGAAGTTTGAAACAGCTGATTTCTCAATTACCCCTTGGATGAGGCAGCTGCCAGTTCGCTCTGCCTAGCATCTTCCACAATCCCTAACCCCCTTAACCAGCTGAAAATAACAAATGAGGGATCATTCTCCAGCAATCCTACATTTTTGAATGGGTTGGGTTTTTTTTCTGTAAGCTGATATTATCTCACTGATGTGACAGGCAGGATTAATAAAGCCTTAGTCACAGAACTGGAAAGAATGCTTACTTTTATGCATAGGACTAAGAGCTGACTGGAACCTTCTTTGTTTGAACAAGCAATGAGAAAGTGAGGGGACATAATGAGAAAAAGGAGATGTACTTGTCATTACAACTTCATGATTGAACGTAGATGTCGGTGAGAGACAGCTTACTGCTTGTTGCCAAAAGCTATGGAATCACAGTGCAATGTCTTCATATTTTGCCACGTGATTTACTAATGGCATTGTTTTAATATACAGCAAAGCAATATAGTTTAGCAATGCACTATCGAGATATGACACTGTGATAATTATGCGGGCTTCTTTGGAATGAGATGACCTTGAAATCCATTAATTAAGTAGCAATGTGTGTCTTGGTTTAATTCAGTGTCTTGGTTTAATTCAGTGTCATCTGTAAGTGCAAAAAATGTCCATATATTTCCCTTCCCAAAAAAAAACAATATCTACTGTTTGTTAGATAGCATTTGGAAATAGAATAGCTACACTGGAGGTCTGTGAACTGCTCAGAATCTTTGTTTTATGCCACAGGTTTTGTCTGAACCTGCAATTTGTGCATAAACTTCGAATCCTACTTTATAGATCCATTCTGCATGTGGATGTGCATGCAGCATTTGGTTAGACTCACTAAAAAAACCTTTTTGCTGAAGTAAACCATTACAAGTCCCATCAGCTCAGCTCTGCCCTGTCTTTGCAGCAAAGATCTGTTGCTACAGGCCTTGACATTACTTCAGGAGAAGTATCCCATCAGGATTCATTTTTGACATAGATGAATGAGGACTTTGGTGAGACAAGAGTTTGCCCTACATACTTTTGCTGAGCATTAAGCTTTGAAAAATGAACGATTACATTTTGAATTGCCTTTCAACATTAATAGCTGGAAAAGATCTGCCCAGTTCTCTATTTGAGAGCGGGGATTTATTTGCTGTGGTAAAAGTGGAGTGGACCCCTCCTTTCTCCATTCAGAGGTACTCCTGTTTTGGGATGTGTTGGCATCTTTTTTCTTAAGGAGAAGAGCATCACTGATGATAAAAACAGTATACAGAAATAAGACTGCATTTTGGAAATAGAAAAGTATTTTCTTCTCCATAGATCCGTAACCATTAACCAAAAGAGTACAAATTTAAAAATAAGCTTTTGAGGGGAAAAGGTTACTTTTATTGGAGAAGGTACCATTGCTGCTGTACGTGTGCAGATGTTATACGTACTGAGGTGATTTTACAAAGCAGTCAGGTAGTTTTGCATTCTAAAACTTCTAAGATCTGCATGCAAGGTATAACTAAATTTGTCTGACAGATAAATGGAAATGCTGTTAATAACTTAATATCCCTTGTGTCAGAAAAGTATTTTTGGAATATGTAAGGCTGAAAAATCTCTTTTTAAATGCAGGATCATGAAATTAGGAAGTCTGAGAATTGATAAAAGATGTGATTTTTTTTCCTCTGTGCTTTCACTCCATAGCGTTCTAGGAAATGGTGTGTTTCATCTTAATCCTGGTTCTTCTTTGTGCATTTCCAGGATTCTTCTTCGATTGGAACAGCCACAGTGTCTGGTCCCAGGACAAGTGCAATAATTGGAGATCAGGGAACACCACCGAAGGTCCAGCTCCCCCTCAATATGTAAGCAGCTCGGCTCGGTCTCTTTGTACTCTTTGTTTCAAATCCTGTGTGTGCGTGTGTGTGTTTAAATCTGAAAGCTTGAATCTCATCCCAGGAGCATTCTGAGAAGAGGAAGATCACAATTTCTTACGTGACTCAGGCTCTGCTGAAATTGAAAAATGAGTAGAGAAAGGCAAGGCTTCCTCCTTTCTTTGTGAGCCCTTGTGGACTCCTGGTATATTTATTGCAGCTGTATGAATCACTCTGAAGCAAACAGAATGCCTCTCAGCTAGAAAAAAATCTTCCTTCATTTAAAACTCTTAAATAGGTGCAGCCCCTTCAAATCGAACACTTGATACATTCATCATTAACCAGAAAAAAATGATCCAATTGCATTCTTTCAGTGCCATAAACAAAGACAGCAAATGAACTTCATATCATGGGCATATGTGCTTACTGAATAGTGTGTACAATAACAGAAGGTTGACTAAATGCAATGCAAAAATGGTAGACTTTATAATAAATCCCTTCTAGCCTGGTTGGCTTATCTGGTACCAATTGAGTTAGACACCTGCATCCTTTCCTGTCATCATATGTACCTTGTGAAAGCAAACGAACTACATAGACACACACGCATATGCACACCAGTATTTTAGGGGTTTATGATATGGCTAAAACAGTGTCTGAATTTACAAATAAAATCCTAAAATAACATAGCCAATCTGCTTTGTGGAGAATAGGAGAGTTGAAAAACAAATTTGTTCTTGGCTACTAAGGTGAGATCTTCATATCAGAGGGGTACTACATGTGACTGACTGCACCACGGAGAGGTCTCATCATCAGCCTGTGGTCACCCTGTGCAGCCTGTGTGGCACATAGTGGGGCGCAACTTTATTTCGAACGTTGCCCAGACTAGGAAACAGCAACTGGCAGTATATCCAACATTTATTTGCTGGATCACGACATTTGCCAACTCTCTGGCAATACCGCTGCCTCTATGCCTCAGCAAGCCTCCCCTTCTCCCTCCCATGCTTTGCCTGTCGTCTCCCTCATGAAGCAGCTTCATAATCGAGTCTGTCATTTTGCATTTGCAAGCCAAGTACCAGTCAGAAAGAAAGCACTTTCTGAAAGCTGTAGCAGAACTGGTGAGGTACAACCTTAGACGGAGCCTGGGGGCTTCTGCATTGTAAGTAGAGTCACAGGGAGTTCCCCAAGGCCAAGAGCATGAGCTACCTTCTCACTTAGGCCTTTTTTTAGGGAACTTTTAATAAACATTTTGACTTCTTCTGGTCTTGCTCCCTAACCCTTAGCTTCACTATTTCACGTAGCCCAGTATAACTTGCTATTACATTTTGCAAAATGTCAGATTGTTGTTTTTACACTTTCTTCTCGGTTGCAGAGAGTTTACTGGCGAAGTTTCACACCTAAACTCTAGAGAACGGTAAGATGTGTCCAAGTCCAAAGGCTTTTGCTTAAGACAAAATCAGACTTAACAAATGGGACCAGTAGACCTGATTCTCTGCCAGAGGAAAAGCCCAGAAACACCTTCTGCGGGGCGAGGGGTGCAAAGCTGCCTGCACTCCAATTGTTTTCAGCCATGAATGAGAGCAGGCATCCTGCCAGCTCTTCCACAGCCTGCTCTGCCAACACATGGGGTGTGTGCCTGTCCCATGGGGCTGATATGCCAGCCATGGCCAGGCACTGGGCACAGGCTGGGCCTGTCACTGGTTTTGGATAAGCTTCTGACTCTTTGCACATTAATGGGTGAATGCCCCAGGGACAGGTATCCTCCCTCCCCATTTACGTGGTGTGATCACCAGTCCATGAAGAAAGTGCTGATCACTTCTGTTGCCCCAGGGCAATGCTATGTGGTTGTCACATGCAAGTTTTCATCAGCTGAGCCATAGAGAGATTGGTCAGTTTTGACATGGAGTCCAGGCCACATTTTTTTAGTCTCTGCAAGGATTTTGTTACTCTCTCTGAAGGATATTTAGGCTCATTGTGATATTGGATATTCAGGCTTACTGTAGGCTGAGTTGGGGAAATTTACAGGGAGAACAGAAAGAAACTAGTAGGAGAGCTGCAGATAGCTCCAAGGGAAAGCAGTCGATGATCCACTTACGGTAATTTTCCTTGCACCTTCTTCCAGCATCTCAACCTGTAAATTACATTATTACATGTAGCCCCTTGGGAAAAGGGCTAAGTGAGTCTAAAATGCTCTGTCCTTGACTCTCTGCTTTACCCATAGCTTCTAAATATGAGCCCTGTGTAAGCAGCAACTTAAAAAGGGTGTAGTCAAAGCCACGCTTTCTGATCCCTCAAGTGAGTGCAGTCTGGCACTTTCCGTTATGTCCAATCAGAGCACAGTGCTGAAGGATTAGCATTGAAGCATGCAACCTTATTTCATGTCAGAGTGATGTATTTTAATGTTCTTCAGCTCCTGTGTAGCCTCATGTTTTCCGTCAGGTGAACAGCTACAGACCCGCTCAGGACCACCTGAATATACAACCTAAACAAAGGATGTGCAGAATGGTTTCTCCCATCTGTTGACTAATGAAATACAGTTTCTGATTAGATCTTTGTACCCCATGCATGTGGTAAACATAGCCAAGAACATCAGCCTAAGCATGCCCCAAGGAGTTGTTACCAAATATTTCATATTCTACTCATTACTGCTGTTTATTTACTATCTTCAGAACAAAAATAAGAAAATCTACTGGTGCCATAAAGGAGTAGAATCAGGAAAACTAACAGGATTTATTCCTCAATTATACTTCCTGGAGAGGAGAAGTAAAAAGCCATATATCATTTTTATTGGCTGCAAGTCTGCAATCACAATGGTTACGGTTTTCCTTATTTCTCTGTTCTGCTGCTGTAAGGTGGGCAGCAAGCTTCTTCTCATCCACCCCTGCGTCTAAGAGCATTCTGCTGCACTTTGTAGTGTAAATGGAATTTCTGAAAGTGCTTCCCCATACATCTCGATCTCTCTTTACAGCCATCACACAAACAAATTTAAAAAAAAAATCAAGAAAGCACAATCTTGATCAACAATTACCCGAAATCCCTTTTTGCATCTGTAGAAAGGTTGGCAGTACAAAAAAAAAATTAAATCTGTATTTACAAAGAAAGTGTTGTTTTGTGTGTGCATTCTTGCTATCCTATCCTGTCTCTCCATTATTCCCCAAAGTGCAAGCAATCATTCCTAATTTTCAACAAGGATCTCGCTAAATAGAGGGAATATCTTTAGGGACTTCAAGTTGTAGTCATTTCACAACAATAGACACATCCCTGAAGTAGTAACGGAAGAACAAAAGAGAGATAAAAAGAAAGATTCTAAACAAAGGGCATAAATAAAAACTGCAATTAAATAAATGAAACGTTCTACATATTGGATCCTCTATGGAAGATTTATTAGAATACTTGCATGCAAAACACCCTACCACTTGACCGACCTAAGTAAAAATCCCTTTGCAGAATTTGGCCCTCTGTCACTTTTTGGTTTACCCATGTAATACAAGAATTACCACACCAGATCAGAACAGTTTGTTGTGTTGTTTCCAAAAATGGCCAGCATAAATAACATTCAGGAAGGCTGCAAGAAGAGGTAGCTTAAACATTTTTGAAGTAGCATAGCCATAAGAAAACTTTCTTCTGAAAATCCGCAGTAGAGGTGGCTCCCACCCTGAAGTACATGAATATATACTTTATCCAGACGTTAGGCTTTGCAAAGCCTTCCTACTCGAGCCCTGGTTACTCTGGCTGTCTCTGTAATTGCCTTGTCCTTTTGAAACTGCTGCTAAGTCCTTAACTTCAGTGCTGCTGTGTGGCAGTGTTTTGTTTTGGTGGTGCCCTGAGTGAGAAGTGTGTCCTATGAATTTCTAAATTACCCTTTCTATTTAATCTGGTTGGTTAATCTCATATTGCATTAGCATCCAGTTGACCTTGTCTCTGCCATTCCTTGCTTGGTGTGCTGTAATGATGTAATTCCTGAGCAATGTTTCTGCTCACTTTCTGCTCTGCGCGGCTGGAGTCAAAGCAGGACACGGGGTGGTTGACAACAGCTCTGTGCTTTCTTCTTGTGTGACCTCTGCCCGCAGCTACCTAGCCCTGTATGCCTACAAGCCTCAGAAAAACGATGAGCTGGAGCTCCGCAAAGGTGAGATGTACCGGGTCATTGAGAAGTGCCAGGACGGCTGGTTCAAGGGGACGTCTCTGAGGAGTGGGATGTCTGGCGTCTTCCCAGGCAACTACGTGACCCCTGTTTCAAGGTGAGGACCACTGGCCAAAGTGGATGTGCCTGAGCTGGGGCTGAGAGAGATTCTGAATCTGGAGGATGCTGACAGTAATGCAGAACTGCTTTTAAATCACATTCCCCTTCCAGGAATTTTCTGGTGACATTGCAGACATGGGTAATGAAACTTCCTGGGTGTACCATTCAAGTTATCCATGTTCTCAGAAGACTTTGTTAGTTGTGTTAGATGATGGAATCTACAACCTCTGACTTGACAAAGTTTGATGAGCCCAGGTTTTATTATGGTAAAGAACCTGTTAGCTAGTGGTCTTTTTATTTTTTATTATTATAAAATTACTGGACATGTAAACGGGATAAACAAAATAAGGAATGCTTGTGTCTTGCTTTTCAGCAATCCCTGATAGAGATTTTGTTTTTCTTAAATCAAGGATCTTGGATTGTTTGGATCTGGACTGATGTTTGAACCATTAAAATTCAGAAGTGGTAGGAGAGTTCAGTAAATTGTTTGATTTAAACTACCTCTGTCTCAGTTGCAGAAGATGAGAAAAGGAAAGAATAGTGTGTTTGAGGAGGAGTACCATTTATCAGAGTTCAGTATCTGACAACACCAAATCAAAGGTTGTTTGTGAACTAAAGGCCACTCTGAAATAGTCTGCAAGCTGCGGAAAAAGCTCATCAGTGTGTTGCAGACTGTTTTGCCCCACGTGCTTCTTGCAGGTGAATATTGGCATATGTACGCCCATGTCTCCTCTAGAGCAACCATAGGTTTGCAAACCAAACTCACTCCTCATATGCTCTCAGTCTCTCCTCCTACATGCACAAAGTCTCCACCATCTTTCACTCCTTTCCAGAGGAATTCACCTCACAACTTGAATAGTGTTGATGTTGAAAAATTGATCCAGGTTTATTCCATCTTCAGTTTGTATCAAGTTTATAATATGTGGACTGAGAAAGACCAAAAGTTAAGAGCAGATTAGAAGAGAATAACTAAGCCTGCTGACAGTCCTAATATTGCATTTCAGTAAAAAAAAAAAAAAAAAAAAAAAGAAACCACAGAAAAACAAATGCATTAATTCATGGGTTCTTCACTGTTCATCAACCTAAATATATTTACCTGATTTTATAGAGCCCCTTGGCTGCCTTCACTCCTTGCCTCTTCAACTCTTAATTAGTAAAGAAGCTTGTGCTGAAGGGTTGGTGATCTGAATCAGCAAGAGTTTTTATTAAATGCAGCATGTCACAGCTAGAACAAGACAGAGAGAAGTGCCACAGGGCAAAAGTGTTTTCCACAAAACTCAGGAACAGCTTTATGATTATATTTATGATCCTGTGAGCTAATTAAGTTCCTGTGTAAATCACCCTCAGAGAGAACAGCAAGAAAACTCTGATAGCAACAAAATCTCCTATTTGCTGCACTTTCAACTTACTTTGTTCCCCTTTCACAGCAAAGCAGAGGATTAGATTCATACATATTTTTCTGCCCCTCCCTACAAAACCCAAGAAAAAGAAGTTACCCATGAATTTAGTTACACCAAAGTAGATTGTGTGGGCAGAGCATGCTGGAAAAAGGACAAGACCCTTTAGGTGGACAGACAGGCACAGGGCAGGAGAGAAAATTTGCGACATTCAACATCTGTCGAGCTTTGTGAGAGTCACAGATAGTTTCTGTACCTGTCGGTGTGCATGTTTGCCTGAAGACAGCTCTCACTTAGGTGTAGTTTTCTGGCAAACTCAATCTAGTGCAGATGGCCAAGCCAGCTCCAGCTGAACCTTACTGCTACCCTGCCAGCTCTTCACAGCAGATGACAGACAGTCAAGATTCCCGTCTGGTGGGATTCCCAGCTTTTCCCTACCTGAAGGCTGATATAAAAAAAAAAAAAAGAAAAAAAGAAAAAGAAAAAAGATTCATTTAGCATAAAGTAATCCAGGCAAACCTTACGCCATGAAATTAGTCAAGTCCATGGTGCCACAGTGTTGTTTTTCCTCCTGTGATTTTGGGGGGAAGGGACATTGGGCAGAGGAGATGATTATCTTTTGCACTTTTGGACCATATCTTCCAGCCTTTGTTTTGGTCTCTGTCTATCAGAATTTCACTTGTTTAGCTCTTCCACTCTCCACTCTTTTCTTAGGGTTACTTCTCCTATCTTCCTTGTCCCCTTCAGGGACCAGATCTTTCAGCGTAGTCTTTCTTTCTGCTGTTCTCCTGTGTTCCCACACAACAATTTTGGGGCCCCAGAAGTTCTCCCAATCCCCCTCCCCCAAAGGTTGGCCTTGTACCCTTTCTGTTATCCTCTTGTCCCTCACTAACCCACTGCTCTCTCTCATTTCCATTTTCTCCATTCTCATTTCCATTCCCCTCTCCTGGGAAAGAACAGCCCAAAATGATCCCCCTGTTTCATGGCATCTACTGCTGGGGAAGGATACTACTCAGGAACCTGCGTAAGAAACTCAGAGAAAGAGCTGCTGAGCAGCAGCTGAGTTTGACGATTGATGTCTTCCGTCTTCCTGAGTGTCCACTTGCCACAGTCAGAGAGTTTCTGTCTCAGTGGTAAGAGGACAAAGACCTGCCCTAGGCTGCACTCCTTGCACAGGAGAAAGAGCCTTGTCCCTTCCTTCTGAGGTCTACCGAGCCAGTCAGATGAAATACAAACTATGAATACAGCATAAGTGAGCGGTGAAAGAGGGATCAATTGTTGTTTGGTTTTTCTTTTCAGTAAGGTCAGCTGCATTTCCTTCCTTTTTGCATTACCTTAGCAAGTCTAAGCTGGGACTGGTTACATCAGTAGAGTAAGCCTCAGCCAAGCCCTGCCAAGTCTCCTGCTTTTCAGTTCCCATCAACAGCCACAGACAGATTTGGTGTTATCCATGTTTTTTTTTCTCCCTGTGGGGCTGTATACAGGTTCAGTTCTAAGAAGAGATCTCTGAGTCTGTTTTAATTATCACTCCATTAGCGTCTGTGAAATAGCCTCTGGCACACAAAATGACATTTGGGAGATATCCGTTTCTTCTGAATTTAGATCTGTGATTTTACTCAAAACAATTCAGACAGAAATGTGGCTCAAGAAAAGAAGTGATGAGAAAATTTATCTTTTCCATTTTTATCCTGCATTTCTTCCCACAGCATAAAGGGGTGAAAATGTCCTCCAGTAGGCTTACAACAGTTTCTTATAAAGATACATATATATCTATGTCTTGATTTGCTTCAACACCTGAGAAATCACCAGAAGTAACTGGGGGTGCTTATCAGCATTGTGTCAGGGTATTGGGATGCTCACATTTTGCCTTGTCTCCACACAGGGTGCCGGTGGGAGCTGGGCAGCCCAGAAACAGTGGAGCTGCGGGAGCTCCGACAACAAAAGGAGCCCCAGGATCCATCCACCCCATTGGGGCTGGTCACACCAACACTGCCACGGCCGTCAGACCGGTTGTTCCTATCACTGCTCCTCAGACTCATCCCCAGCTACAGGCAGCCTCTCCTCAGCTCAATAACTGCTTGAGGTATTCAGCTCAGCAGCCAGCCAGCCAGACTCGCAACGCCTTGCAGATGGGTATGTGTGCATGCCCGCCGGTGCCTCTCGCCCCGCGTCGGCAGGATTGATGTCGTACCCCTCGAGCGCAAGCCGTTCAAATCTACCCGTCCCCTCAGCTTTCTTTCTCGTCTTAGTCACAGCTCAGTCAGTGTGGAATAGAGCATGTTTTATTTGCTGGTAATATTTATGGGGTCCTATTGATCTCTGGGAACCACATTGTGTTTATCAGATTGTTCTGTTGCTACAGCTGAAATAGATTACAGTGTTTACAAATATTTATACAATTTATCTGAGTGAAAGCAAGAGCCCTGCATACTGAGGAGATTAACAAATCTGAATCCGGTTGGCTTGCTGATGGGAAAATACTGCCCTTATCGCAGGGCAAGTAATACATGACTTGAAATTAAGAAGCATTTCATTGGGCTTCAAAGATGAAAGGTATTTATTAGGCAGAACGGGGCCCGGTGTTAGTGATAAAGCAAAAGATCTGAAAAATACTGCCACCTTTTTGAAATGAGAATAAGAGCTTCTCACGCCAGGGGGCCTCTGTTCTTTCTAGGTTCCCTTTCTGATGTACGGCACAATTTTCTAGAGTACAAT